TCCCCTGGCCCCCTTCCATTGTTTAGTCCGGAACCCCCCCCCCCCCGGTCCACCTCAGTTCTACCTCCCTCCTGAGCTTTTGTGTGTTCTGGTGGAGCGTCTGGTATCCGCTCCGTAGAGGGGGGGTAATGTCACAGTGTCTGGTTGTGGTGCCCTGGACAGGCCACTTGAGGGCGCTCTTCCTGTTTCTTTGTTACATGTTTTGAACTGTTTCCCATAGTCCTTTGCTTTGTCGTTCTTTTCTGATCATGATCACCTGTTGGTAATTTACTCATCATTTTATCACTACTTATACCATGCTCTCACTGTCTGTCTTGGCTGCTGTATTGTTTGAGGTTACATTGTGTTTTCTGTTCCCTGTGTTTAAGTTACCTTTTGTCTAGTTTTTGTTCTGTTCTAATTACTTGTTACTTTAATAAACTACTGCACTTGGATCTACTTTGTTTTCTCCTGGCTTTCCGTGACAAGTATCCTCCTACTGTTGAGTGTAGACAAAATACATTTAGCAGATATGCACATTTAAAATGAAGTCACCTTGTCCAGGAGTGTATATAAAATTATTAGAATAATTATGATTATTTGTGATTAAATACTTTTTAATATTATATTACTTTATATATTATAATATAATACTTTTTAATATTATAATATGAATATAGTATTAAACATTTTGATTGTTTTTTAAATAAATATTCTCTAAAATGAGACCGTCCCCCTTCTCCTAATACCACCTGTCACCAACTGGCAATAGCAAGTTGCAAATCATGACTCATGGCTGTGACATAAACAAAAGGCTATTTGATATTTTAACAATATGGGATGTATAGTCCATGTGCTGGTGACATGCTGTCGTTGCTCTTAGAAGAATGTTTTACACAGACATTTTCTGCTCAAACAGTATTTCAGATATGGGCACTGTCTGACTTTTAAAATATGTGAAGGGGTGTTGAAGCTAATTCTATACTGTGAGTGACAAGGAGAAATATGAGGAATAGGTCATTGAAGTCGCCTGGAATCCTTATAACCTCATACCTAAGCAGAACATCGACCCAGATTCATTTAATATCCATTTAACACTGTAATGCTATTACTGTGCAAAATGACCTGCAGAGAATTACACAGTAATAGGAACCACATGAACACACACACTGACGCACACACATTTTAGCTGTGGTTTGCCTTTGCCTTAAAGGGACAGTTCACCTTAAAATGAAAATTCAGTCATTGTTTACTCATATCATGTTGGGTCCAAGCCTGCATGCTGTTAATTTTTTCTTAGACGGTTTAATTGTCTTCTTTGGACTTTTTAACTGATCTTGAGCTGTGATCATTCTTAATAATTTGAGATTTTGTGTTTTATTTGCATGGAAAATATGTCAGCATGCAGGTTTAGAATCACATGAGGGTAAGTACAGTAAATACTAAACAAAATTAAAATTTTTGTGTGAGTTATCCTGTTAAAACTCTGACCTCACTTTTATGCCAGAGTAGCCCTTACAGTTTTGGTTAATCATAAAATAATCTATTGATGAAATAATCTATTGACAGCCCTTGTGAAAAAGAAGTACACTTTATCATACTTTAAGACGAGTACTTATTTTGGAAATTTTATACTTAAGTGTGAACTGAATGTAATGTTTTCAGACACTTGTGATTTGTGATTAAAAGAAAATTTATTATAGCTTAAATTTATATTAAATGTAATTAGTTAAATGTAAGAGTGTTTTTATTGACCCACTTAAGTACACATATATAAAATATATGTACATATTTAAACATATATATATACAGTATATATATATATATATATACAGGTGCATCTCAATAAATTAGAATGTCATGGAAAAGTTCATTTATTTCAGTAATTCAACTCAAATTGTGAAACTCGTGTATTAAATAAATTCAATGCACACAGACTGAAGTAGTCTTTGGTTCTTTTAATTGTGATGATTTTGGCTCACATTTTACAAAAGCCCACCAATTCACTATCTCAACAAATTAGAATACTTCATAAGACCAATAAAAAAAAACATTTTTAGTGAATCGAAAGAGTTAAATTTCACTAGCCACACCTAGGCCTGATTACTGCCAGACCTGTTGAATCAAGAAATCACTTAAATAGAACCTGTCTGACAAAGTGAAGCATGCTTAAATAGCAACACATTATGCCGCGATCTAAAGAAATTCAAGAACAGATGAGAAACAATATAGTTGACATGTATCAGTCTAGAAAGGGTTATAAAGCCATTTCTAAGGCTTTGGGACTCCAGCAAACCATGGTCAGAGCCATTATCCACAAATGGAGAAAACTCGGAACAGTAGTGAACCTTCCCAGGAATGTCCGGCCAACCAAAATTTCTCCAAGAGCACAACGACGACTCATCCAGGAGGTCATAATAAGAACCCAGAACAACATCTAAAGAACTGCAGGCCTCACTCGCCTCAATTAAGGTCAGTGTTCATGATTCAACAATAAGAAAGAGACTGGGCAAAAACGGCATCCATGGGAGAGTTACAAGGCAAAAGCCATTGCTGACCAAAAAGAACACAAAGGCTTGTCTCACATTTGCCAAAAAATATCTTGATAATCCCCAAGACTTTTGGGCAAATATTCTGTGGACTGATGCGACAAAAGTTGAACTTTTTGGAAGTTGTGTGTCCTGTTACATCTGGCGTAAAAGCAACACAGCTTTCATAAAAAGAACATCATACCAACAGTCAAACATGGTGGTGGTAGTGTGATGATCTGGGGCTGCTTTGCAGCTTCAGGACCTGGACAACTTGCCATAATTGACGGAACCATGAATTCTGCACTCTATCAAAAAATCCTGAAGGAGAATGTCCAAAAAAACAGGAAGAGGGCAAAAACCTTTTCACGGCACTGTGTATATATATATATATATATATATATATATACACACATACTCGCCACGCTTTGGCAATGTGTGAGTTGCCAGATGGCCAGTAACCTTTTTATAAATTCTAACAGTGCAATGTTGTGAGAACATAAACGGGAACAAATGTGAACAACACTCTGTAAAATTGACGGGTCAGTGCTGCTTCATCACAAAAGTTTAAGCCTTTGCAATGTAAATATTCAAGAGCTAGAACACATGAAAGAACGCGCGTTACTCGCGCTGAGTGGGAAGTTAAAATATCTGAAGCCCCGTCTTGAGCTCTGCTTCCTTCCTGCACTTGAACAGACAAATTCACACAAAATTATGTCAAAAATGCCCATCTATGTGAGTATCCTAGTAAAGTAGTTGGTTCTTAAGTGAACATGAACGACTGAGAAAAAAAAAACGGACATGAAATGCGCGCGACGCAATGTGTCACAAGACAATAGAACCCATCATAATCTGTGATATTGTCAACACAGGATGCGCCGCGGCGCTACACGACAAATTGCCGAAAGTAAACGGATTCCCCGTTCTATTTCTGAAATAGTCCAAGCAACGTCGGTTTTGTCGCATCCAGTGATGACAACTTCAAGCTGTGTAGACACAGTGTTAAATTGATAGACACAGAATTCCAATATTCCAATAATCCAATAATCCTGCTGTTGTCAGCGTTTTTAATGTTAATCAAAGTAAATAGGACAAAGAAAAAAAACAATCACTCACTGCTCTTGAACTTTAAAAAAGATAAAAAGACTATAGTGTTATTTAATTAGCATAGTTTATTACATTTCTGTAGGCTACCTGAAAATCACTGTTAGACCTGCCTGAAATGCACCGTTTCTATTTGTATCTTTGTTGGCTATTTTGTGCTATTGCTTGTAATTTGATTTGCTCTTTGCATCAATCAAAATCATGGAAAAGATTTTTCCATGGCTGGTAAAATATATTTCTGGACGGTAAATTTCCTTAAGTCACCAGCCATTGGCAGGTCTGGCAAAAAGTTAGTTTTAGGCCCAGTGTGAGTGTGTGTGTGTGTGTGTGTATGTGTATGTGTATGTGTATATATATATATATATATATTTGTATGTGTGTATATACAGTATATATATATATATATTTGTATGTATATATGTTTAATTTTATAATTACTTCTATTGTCTTTGAAATATGGTCAAAGTGAACAGCTGAATATACTGACAAGGATTTTTGATTAACTAAAATATACTTTAAGGTCATTTCTAGTAAAACATTTATTGCATGTAGTTAAAAATATTTGTAATGACACATGATGTAATGTAATGTAATGTAATTGTAATGGTGAAGTTGCAATTTATTGTAATATTAAAATTATTAAAACTTAATGTAATATTAAAATTAACACTAAAGTTGACATTTTAATCAAGTACTTTACATGTGCTTTAGTATGTTGATCAAAAAATCTAAATAAGTGTACTTCTTTAAAATAAAAAAGATTATTAAAACAATGTATCAAAATGGACTTTAAAGTAAAACTTGGCATTATTACAAAGAGCACTTTTTAAAGAAACAGTGATAAAAGTGTGCTCGCTTTAAGTACTCTTAAGTGGCCTTTAATTTATATTGTATTATCAGCAAGTACAGCTTTTTTTCTTAAATAAATACTTTTAGGATTTGAAAAGTGCACATTCAATGTAATTAACTGCACTTCTTTTTCACAAGAGATTTCTAGTTTCTAATAATGAACCCATCAAGCAAAAATTATCATGGTATTTCCATGTTTTTGGACATGGATCCATAGTAAGTTTACCAAGAACATACGGTATTCTTTAAGTACCTTTCTTTCTGATTTATTATTTCTATCCTTGCATTTGTCTTTCTTCACCTGCCTTCACACTTTTGTACTCAATATATTGAAAACACACACCTGCGATATTGGCAACACGCAGTGCCTCCTGGCCCTTGGCGGTTTTGGAGCGGTTGGGATTGCGCTGCTTGTTGCCGCCCTGTGTGGAGCGGATGCTGCGAATGTGGACCTCCGTGGCTTTGAAGAAGGCCACCATGAAAGGTTGTTTGCTCTGGGGGCCGCTGCGGCCCACCAGTCCCGCCACCCATGGGTTCACGCTCTGACCTGCAGGGGGAGACAGAGAGACTTCAGCGCATACAGAGACAGTGCATCATTCATTTACAATTAATTACTCTTTACTGAGATCTGAGAGGAAAGAAATACATTGTTAGTGGCAATGCTGACAGGTACAAATCCCAGAAGAGAAGTTATACAGGCCTCTTGAAAGACGTTTTTCACCTATGTAGCAGGAGGCAAATTTTTCCGTTTGTGTTTCTGTGAATCGGTTCCTAAGAGAGACCCGCATAACACTCAACGGGACAGTTAAGCAATCTTTTATTTTGTCACAGCCCTGTGGCCTAATAAATAGTGTAATATGCATTATATTATAATAATAATTTTGTGTCTGTCACAGTCTTATAAATCAAGAGAATTGTGTAAGAGAGTGTGTGTGTGTTCTCCAAAAATATGCAACTTCTGATGTTTATTTTGTGTAATCTCTTTCGCACTCAAGAGCGCTTTTAGTTCGCTGTTTACTCAGAAAATTCCTGCACTTACATCTGTTTCTGTCTCTGTGCCATTCTGGACTCATTTTACCTACACACCGGCTTTAATGTGTGTGTGCGTGTGTTTCTTACAAAAAGGAAGGAATGCTCTCTCTGTCTCCACGCCGAGGTAAAGCCAGGTTGCCGGTTGCCTACGGCGACAGGGTAGGCGTCCCGCAAGCATGTCTCGACAAGCTTGCTGATCTACGCCAGCCCCATAATACACTGCACCTGTTTTCATGCTAACACTTAAAACCTGTAACATCCTGTACACACACACCGTCCTACTCACACAGATTCAATACAAAACACACTCCCACTGCGGCTGACAATAAAGTATGTGAGTGAAAAACAGTAGATTAAAATCTGCATTAGTTAGAACGTATGTAGGACATCCAGACCAAGCATTGACCTTAGACTAAACTACAGAATTAATAGTGATTTCTGCTGAAACTCCAGACTAAGCATTAGTGATCAACACATTTGAATTAGGACGGATCGGTTCTGCGCATTATCTTGTATTATTGGTCTTGACTCTCAAGGTTAGTTGAGGAAAAGTCAGATCTTCCATTAGCGCTTGTCTAGGCGCATGTGTGCACATTTGACTGGATCTTCCTTTTTAAGATTATATATATATACAGCAGACTCTAAATGTTTGAGACTACATTGTAAATCAAATTGAATTCCAAATTTGGGATTGAAAAAAAATATTGGCAATAAAAGTTTGGAAAGAAAGTTTGAGGAGTTTGAAATTGAACAAATATTTCAGATTCTGCACCATTTTTCATTTGATCAATTTTTTTTTTCTTAATCTTTTTTTAAAAAACTGTACTTGCAGATAATATAATATGAATGAAATAAAAGGCCACTTAAGTGTACTTAACACAAAGACACTTAAAAAGTGCACTTTGTAATAATGTCAAATTAAGGGTTTTACTTTAAAGTACATTTTAAATCATCATGTTTAAATCATCACAATCTTTTATCATGCTGTAAAGAGTACTTGTTTTGATGTGTTGACTAACGTAGGCTACTAAAGCACATGTAAAGTATATGATTATATTTTTAACTGCTGTGTGTTATTTGTTATTACATTTAAAGTGAATATTTTAAATGTACTAAACTGCAATTCAAATATATTTGCAATGTAAAACTAACAAAAATGACACTAAAGTATAATTTAATTCATCAAAGCTTGTCAGTGCATTCAGCAGTTCACTTTAACCATATTTCAAAGACTAATTATGAATAGAAGTAATTACATATAAAGATGTACTTAAATCCTACTTAAGTGGCTCAAACAAGCTCTCTAAATTTCAGCTAATTGCATTTAATACATTACATTAATTTCTCACCTAATTATAATCTTAAAAAGTACATTATTTCTGTAATAGCTCTTTTTTAAATTATACTAACGTACACTGCTTTTTCACAAGCTAATGCTCTATGGATCTTAAATAATAGTAGTACCAATAGTAGCATTTCTCTCCTGTAGATCCACACTGTAGATGTTTTCTTTGAATGGCCTGTAAATGCATTATAATAAATTGCCCTTCAAAGACACTGTAAACATTTACTGAACTGAACTGCATTGAACTTAACAGCGCACAAAAGCAAAACAGACTGAGTACTCTGCAGTGTGGCCTCAGAAACGGTTTCATTTCTGCAGTCTCTGTCTGTGATGCAACATGATGTACATGTTTCATATTTTAACCTCTGCGACCTGCGGCATGTGCACATCCACTTACCATCCAAACTTTCCAAAGCGAGCTGCAGGCCCAGATTCCTGCCTGGGTTCAGCACCCAGTGGTTACTGGTGGCTGTGATGTCGAACACCAGCCAGCCCTCTTCTGCTGCCCAGATCACCCGCGAGTCCAGCAGGAACAGATCTGAGTCCCTGATGGAGAGAGAGAGAGAGCATATGAGCCTGCTGAAAACAATAGCCTATCATACATCTCATATACAGCTGTTTGCACAAGAGAAAAGTAGCATATTTAATGTTTTATGTCATTTCTTTTAAATGAGGATGTGGGGTTTCAGTTGTTTAGCGGTGTCAAAACTGTTGTAAAACTAAAACTAAATCCATAAAAAAAATTACTAAAACTTACAAACGAAAATGCAAAAATCTAATTCCAAAACATTCACAAAAACAAAAAAACTTATATATATATTCATACACTGTAACTTCTGATACCACAAAATGTATTGTAGATAATTCAATATATTAAATAAATTAAGCATATTAGTTAATTCAACATATCAATAAAAAGAAACTTTGTCATAATTACAGCAGAAATATCTTGCTGTATATGGAAGGGGAGCTTTGACTAGGTCAAAAAGGTCAAAAATCAGAGGCATTCAGATGTTGCTATCTTGCTTGTGTCGGTTGAACTGTATCCAGCTCCTTCCCCAAGGACATGACCCCCAAACTTTGTATTTGCCAACGAAACGCCTCTGGGATGATCTGTGACCTAAGTGCTCCACTTTGTGTGCGAGACAACTGAATCACAATGACAGATACATAGAATGACATTCGTATGCAACAAAAGAGGTCCAGAGATGGAGGGCTAATGTAGTGAACCACAAGAAAAATACAATCAGTAGCATCCTGATTCTTTGAATGATATAAAGGTGTGATGTTTGAATTATCCTGTTCATACAACAGTTTGAATACTGTTTGTATGTACAAAGAATACAAGCTCCTTTTCTACTCTCATAATAGCTGTGAATAACATCCGGTGACTTCATACAGTAACGCCACGAAGTGATATATGATACATGTCGATGAACTGCAAAAATTGAGATATTTCAAACTTCATCTTACTAATTTTTTCCACATTTTAATACATTTTCATATTTTAATTAGGTCAGCCGGTCAGTCCAAGCTGATAAAGCCAAAGCAGAACTGTTTTGTGTCTCCAAGCAACACAGCGGTGTTTCATTACTGAATGAATCCACGTTTTTGAACGAATTAAGTGAGTCAATGATTCAGTAACCCATTTATAAAGACAGTATCACTTGCCTCGTTACGGAATGAATCAGCCGTTTGAACGAATCTGTTAACTAAATGACTCACTCATTCAAACAGTCATTTGCCGCCTCCTACGTTTGGTTTCATAAAAAACTATCATTGCATTTTCCCGAACATTTCTTATTTGTATGTTTTAAAAATATTTAAAACAATAATCTTATAAAATTCTTTATTCTAAATTTTGCAGTGTGAATGCATTTATGGCACCTCAGCTTCATCAAACAGTCTGTGTAAATACATCTAATGCCACTTCAGACGCAGCTTTTGTGTTTTCTGCAGTGGAAAGATGGAGTTTGTTGATTCTGATTTCATTTGAATGGTAACAGCTCTACAGTGTCTTATTATTCTAACTGAATTAATTGAAACAATGTAAGAATTTGACGTGAAAGATGGCTATTTAATAGGGCTAACAGTGAAAAAAATAAAATTTAAGAAACATAGTTGAAAATGACATTTGTTCTGTTATATAGGCTACAGCAACTCCTTTTAAGTTAATTGTTATTTCTAGCTCTTTTCTAGTCACAGAGAAGTGAGAGAACTTCTGTAACTTTGTCCAGATGGGGAAAATTGTCATATTTAATAATTATGTATTATGTAGGCTACTTTTTTTTTTTTTTTAGAATTTGACGTGAAAGATGGCTATTTAATAGGGCTAACAGTGAAAAAAATAAAATTTAAGAAACATAGTTGAAAATGACATTAGTTCTGTTATATAGGCTACAGCAACTCCTTTTAAGTTAATTGTTATTTCCAGCTCTTTTCTAGTCACAGAGAAGTGAGAGAACTTCTGTAACTTTGTCCAGATGGGGAAAATTGTCATATTTAATAATTTTGTATTATGTAGGCTACATTTTTTTTTTTTACATATATAGATTTTTGTTTGTATATGCTGTCAATTATAGTTTTTTAGAAAGAAATCGGCAAAAATCGGTTTTATATATATATATATATAATATTATATTTATTATAGCTGTGAAAAACATCTGGTGACTTCCATACAACGGGTCTTAGCACAAGGTCTTAGCACAAATGAAATCAATGAAAGTGTAAAAGGAAATTTATCCAGGTCTAAAAACATATATTATACATCTTGATGAACTGCAAAAATTATTACATTTTTTAAGCTTTAACAATTAACTGCATTAACAATTTTTTATGAACTCTGGACGTTGTACATTAAACCACTGATAATTGAAAACATAATTATTTTCAAGGCACTGATTGGAATTACCCTTACAGTGAAAGATAGAAAAGGTGGCAGATAAAGTGAAACAGAGGGAAAAAGTGAATTAAGTGGAAAAATGGGAGAGCAAGAAACAGAGCACTCGCTCCAGATGGTAAGACCCTGGGGAGCACTTCATTTCCTTAATTGACAATAATGGCTTTATAAACGGCTGTTGATCTCAGAGTGTGGCTGCCCTGCACTAAATCAAACAGAGGAATTTAGAGCAAGACAAGACGACAGCGTAAGAACAAGACTTAAAGGCAGTATACAACAAAAGACAAGGGAATCGCTGCAGGGAGAGAAAGCAGAGCGACGGGAACCACATGAACACACTTCAGATGTTTCAAAGACTCAGAGGAGTTCAGGTGCTCAGAGTGTGTGATCCAAACACCTGTTCTGCTAAACATCTGCCGCCTCAGCCTAATCCAGTCTCATTTATTTTATCCCTCCATTTTTGTCTCTTTTCTCTCCCTGATGGGAGCACAATGGGGTGTGTTGTTCCCCACAGACCTGTCGAGGCAACTGAGGCCTTCACGAGGGGTCGAGCAGCACGTAGGAGGAGCTAGATGTTCTTGAACTCAATTCACAGTGCGGGTCACGCCGATATTCTAGAAGGTCCCAAATGTGCGGTGAAGGGAAGCCCTGTGGCGCACAACTGATTCTTTGAGAGGAGAGCTGCTGAGTCGGAATAGGAAACATGGTGTGGTGCGACAGTAAAGTTTGCATTGGGATGCTTAGATAGAGTGAGCACTGTGTGTGCGGCAAAAAGAAATAGAAGGAAAGGAAACACAAATCAAATGTGTCCAGCATTTACAGACCAGAGGGGTTGAGAGCATTACAGCCCTCAAGAGGAAAGGATTTTCCTTGGAAAAAAGTCACAGGCAAGAAACACCCACCATAAAAAATAGTAAAGTATATCCAGGCCCACATGAAAACTGCAGACATTTTCCATATTTTTTATATTGATTTGGGGGGAAAATCTGCATAATTTGTTGTTGACGTCAAAGGTTGTAAGTCCAATCACTTTTTCTAGTGCAAATTCAGTTGTCACTTGGTAGAAGTTTACAGGCCGAGTGGCTTGTCTGCATCCTCATAAAATATGAACAAACCTACACAAGGTAGCAGAAAAACTGACCTAGACGTTTGGCAATTTGTCTTTTAAAGTAAAGACTTTACAGGAATGTTTCCTCACAATACTCCTTTGTCCATATGTATAAAGTTTTCTGATGTTTGGATGATATGATCACAAGATATAGGCTAATTAGTCATTATGAGCCTCACCTATAAACATATCGGTCTATATCTGCTAAACAGTTAAGTGAATTCAAATTCTTTTGATACATTTTTGTCAGGAGCATGTCTAAATGATACGCACCAAGTTTTGAGCAAATCAGACCACTGACCTACTGTAGGACAGGTTCGAAAAAGCTTTTTGTCGACCTCTCTTAAATGTGGGATCCCTCAAGGATTTATTATGGGACCCATTTTTTTTTTTTCTCCTCCATAAATGTGCAGTTCCACATATCGAACACCATGATACTTACTGACAGAATTTTCATTTTTGAGTGGCCTATCCCTTAAAAACAGAATCATTACTGATTTACACTTTCTTTACTTTACCAACACTGCACACTTAAAAATAAAAGTCCCAAAAGGGGGGTTTTGCAAAGATGCCATTGAAGAACCATTTTTGGTTTCCCAAAGAACCTGCCTTTTAGTGAATGTCACGTTTTTTAATTGTAATTATTATTCTACTGGTTGCACATAATGAACTTTACAGCTTGATATGCTATACAGGCTTAATGTATTTGGTGTGCAATGTGTTCACTGTGTATGTGCACAGTAATATTTCAGATACATGATAAGATGATGTATGAAGAACATGTCTGTGTATACAATGTGTTGAACTCTCACTTTTCAGTGATTGATAAGCTCTGTCAGGGACTGAAGATAGCTCTCTGTGTCTCTCTGGCTCTTGTTCTGTCTTTTATCACTGTGTGAGAGTGCTACACACACACACACACACACAGACAATAGCAGCCTTGTTGACTCTTCAGTCAGTGCATCAGAGCCAGTGAGAGCAGCTGTCATCCTCATACCTCTACTGAGAGCCGTGAATCATGGTTTGAAGAGACTCCACTGTGTGAAAATGAAGCTGTATGTTTCTCTTTATACAGTCCCACAGAGTGTGATCTATTCTGGTGCTGCATTTGCTCCAGGATCAAGATTTACATTGGTCATCAAGTGATGACCCAACACAGTACCGAAATTATTTGGGTTAATGGCATATAAGGGGGTGTGTGTGTGTGTGTGTGTGTGTGTGTGTGTGTGTGTGTGTGTGTGTGTGTGTGAAAAAAAAAACAATAATTATTTAAGAACTTCTCAAGAATTTCACTTCTTATGAACATTCTTACAAACTTCAAAGAATTTATTTTTCATAAGACTTTTGTGAAACCAGCCTCATAATGCTCTAGTGACATAAAGTATAGTGTGGTCATTTGACTTCACCTTTAAGCAACTAAGAACATGTTAGAAACCACATAGCAATGCCCCCAAAACACTCAGAACTCCTTCACATTGTGGCAGTGACTCTATACGTACTCTGCGTATAGGGAGCGGTGGTACTGGCAGTGAGTATTGCACTCACATTTTCTTCCAAAAGTCTAAACATTTATATTGAGAGGAAATGATTGCTTGCTAGATTCAAACTCACGTTGCCCATATGAGCACCATGGACTAACATGCATTTTGGAACACGTGTTTACAGCTAAGCCACAAGTCTGAATTATAAAATGCTAAATATACTGTTCAAAACTAACACAAAAAGTGTTGTGACATTCTGCTCGTCAAATGTTGTGGAACATGTTCAAAATTATTATAACTAATGCTCCCTTCAGTTATTTCCTGCTATTTCCTACATAATTACAAGTCTGTCACATTCAAGTGCTTTGTTTTCCAGGTTCATTCTTGAAGAAATCATTTTAGACCTAAATGCACAGAAGATATTTAGTCAATATCCAATGGATTTAAAATTAAATGTACAGTAGAATCCTTTTTGTTGATAGACATATAAATGTTACTTGTGCTATTGTATACATTTATCGCATCTGGAATTTTGGTTAAATTAATGCTGTTTTCACTGAAAAATACATATAGTATGCAT